CATTTCTGTTTAAATAAAAAACAATTATTTGATATAAAAGTAGAGGGAGAATTAAACAAGACGATGTGGAGACATGGCAAAAAAATAGTGCTTGCATTCCGCATCAGTATTGACAGTCTTAGTACCAGAGAAGTAGAAGAGCCTATCTGTCATCATGTAATCATTGGTTGCGTACTATATCCAAACTTATCTGGTAAGGTATGACAAAGAACCTATTAAAACTTCTTGAAAAATCTCTATTTCTTTGGGAAAGATATTAGAATGTTCGAGTACTTATGTTGGGAGCAAACCTTCTGCATACTAATAGAAATATGCATAAAAAGTATGCCTGAAACAACAATGTGTCTTCTCACTGGAAGAATCCAAACTTTACAGCGAGGGGATCCTCAGAAAAATAACAATCCTATCATTACCGGTGGATACAATTTTAACAACGTAAGATAAGCAGATGACAGAAAAAAAGTCTGCAGAAACTCTTAGACAAGATAGTAAAGGAACGTGGGAAAAAAGGACTAAACGTCAATTGTAAGAAGGCAGAACACCTGGTTGTAACTTTTGCCGCTTCGACTCCAAAGACAACGTTGTATCAAGATCTGGAATTAGAAGTCCTTCTATAAAATGCACACCACTGTTGATAACAAGTTTTATTGGATATGAAGAAAATAGGTTCGCTTCAGCCTCGGAAATGAGGGTGTGTTTGTTGTGTGATGCGGTGGTTGTCTTATGACTTTTCTTGCTGGGTTCGATTCTCCTTTTGTTTCTTTGTCTGGAAGAATTTAGGTCACTCTTTTCTCTAAGAATATACACGTTTTCGACAGTAATGAGTGTAAACATATCCTCGAATTTAATTTCTCGGGAGAAAATAATTCGAACGATATTTAATCATATCTTCTTATCGGTGTAAAGTGGATTTTGCTCAATTTTACTGAATCTTGGCTATTTAATTCTGGGTTTCATATTTCTTATCCTGATTCTATTTTCATTTCTTTCGCAAACATTCAAACTACTCTCCTGAGAATTTTAATAATTATTATCAAGTTATTAGTTTCTCCAAATCAACACCCTGCAATTTCATGCAGTTAAATGTTTACACATTGTCGGTGTTCTGCTACATTTCTACCGCCACCCATAAGTGCAAATGTATATGCCATTGAGCATTTTCACTTCATGAGGAGAGACCCTTGCCTCGATCTCTGTCAATTAGTAGTAAAAGAGTTAAGTTAAAAGAGCAAATAATTCTTTCCTAAAAATATATATTTTTCTATTCCTCATTGTTCATAAAAATTTCTAGTTCACGCAATTCTATTAGAAGGATGATTCGCTCAACTTAATGTCAACGCAAAGCATATTCGTTTCTTTAGAAGTGCCCAACAAAATTAGTCAGGTGTTCTTCATTAATCTGGTGGTCGTTCTGTTGATAATTCAACAGGTGGGTCCATAAGTGAAAACTCTCTTCAACATGTAGGGAGGTATCCATCATCTTCGAGTGCTCCTCCCATCAAGACTACTAAAGCTATTACAATTATCATGATAAGAGTTTCAGACCAGGATGACAGTGCTACCGTGTCAACTCCCATACTATCAGCGGTGGGTCCTCCCCCTGATATGGTTCTTTATCCATTAATTGTTATAGGTTATTTTGGAATGGCTATCCGATTAAAAATTCCGAGCCAGTTACCATAACCCCACCCGCATATTCAAGCTTATAACACCTAGAGTTCCCAGGCGGCCATCCATTTAGGTGCTGACCAGACTTGAGGTTACTCGTACGAGTTTTAGTTACAGAAAGTACGCTGTGTTATTTGTTTTTGTTACAAGGTCTTTCCTCTCGCTATAACTTGTGTTTTCTTGTCTCGATAAGCTAAAATATTGAGATGAATATTATTTAAATATAAGTCATTTTCGAATCACGTATTTTCATGTTTGCAGGCATAGAAGTTTAGTATATTAACAGACGTTGGAAAATGAAATAAAACAATCCGAAGGCGTAGAAAAACAGCGAAAGATGACTTTTTGAAACTAAGAAAAGTATTAACCGAGGAAAATGTATTAAAAAAAGAAAGAAAGAAATGGAATGCTATAGCGCTACGCAATAACTACTCTCCTATATGGCTGAAGAGAATTCGAACGACAGATTTGTGGTTCTAATGATGAGTGCGAAGAATGCCACGAATAGACAATGTGAGAACCCTGGGAGACTTAAAAAATATAGGAGCAAGGAACCTTATATTATAATGAAAAAGAGACATGAACTTTCTGGAAGATATAGAAAGGAAAGTGCTCCTCGAGAAGTTAACAGTCAAAGAATATAGTGAAGGCAAGGGAAACTGTGGGAAACAGTTGGTAACGACATAACGTATTTGTGGGAATGGATGAGAGAAGAGAGACAACGAGGGATGGTAAATGGTCACAAATTTCCTAGAGACGAGTCATGTTCGTTTACGTCCTGAAAAGACTTCGCAAATAAAAGAAGAATTCAATTATGTGTTTTACTCCGTGCTGTTGCACAGCTTATTTAGATTAAGAGGAAAAGACAAAGAAAAAGAAAGAAAAAAGAATGAGAAACAGAAGGAAAATGAAAGGAAATGAAAAAGAAATATAATAAAGGAGAAAAACAATAGTAAATTTAGAAGAAGAAGAAAAAAGAAGGAGAAACAAAAAGACAATTAGGAACGAGTAGCACTAATATGAAAAGCAGTAAGTAAGGCAAAAGGCCAACAAAATTGTAGTAATAGAATTGGCGCAGAATTAGATTAACAAATAATTGGAGAAGAGGAAAATGACATTTTCTGATAAATTTATTATCTAACCTAAATTTTGCTAAGATTCACACAGCCTACCTGTTTTATATAACCTGACTTGAAAATGTCAGTGCCAGGTGTGAGGTTGAACATAATTAATTACTCAACAATTATTTTGGCGTCAACAATAATCAACAGAGTAGAAGAGCTCTCAAAATTGCACATGAGGAACCCTAGATGTAAATTATCTATCTCAACCTCACTTGAAATTATGAGAGATAAATATATTGAAGCCTTTTATGAGAATGAGAATAGTATTTAAAATTTTTCTTGATGATTCGATATAGGATTCTATTATCCTCATCAACTGCAAAATTCATTATTGTGAGTTCATTTCTAGTAAAAAAGTCTTTTACTGTTCCTTCTGTAAGAACCATGACTCTAGAAATCTGTCTTCTCCGCATATTATATTTCTGTTTTGTTACAATGCGTTTCAGCCTGTAAAAACCCGGGGCCACACGTGGTAAATAATTAAGTTAGGGGTAGTTTATATGGGTAATAGGGGAAGATAACGGTTAACTCTAGATATAAACAGGTTAAGATTGAAGTGACTAGGGAAACATCCTCTTGGTAATCTGTTCCACATGGCAGTAGTTCGCGAGAAGAAGCTGAGTGGAACTTCTCGCTGATGGGATACAGAGAGAATGTGGGTGGTTACTTACTATGTAAGTGGCATGACTGGTCATGGCCGTGAAAGTTAGACCTGCCGGAACAAAAGAGTATACGTTCATCCAAGCAGTAGTTTTACAATCCATTGAACCAACCATTTTATGTCTTCTTTCTCGTATGTCCCGTCCAACTATTTGTTTACTGTTTTCTCAATTCTATAATATCATTTTCTTGATGTATCAGAAAGTAAGAGTGAGATGTAAACACCCAAAGACATTTTAAGAAATGAATATATTAAATAAAAAATGAAAATACATGATTATATTATTGTACTCATAACGTTTGAATCTGTGTACAAAATAATTTTGGCAGTAAATGTAGACTGTGATAGTTGATAATGAATGTTTTTTTACTCATGCAACTGGTAATACTGAACCTCAATTTATTTTTTATATTAAACATCTATTTCTACACCGTATGATATAGCCCGTTCCGCAGCTTTATCCATCTTTTATAAATGCAACCGAATCAGTGTTTCCAACATCTGATCGTGTAAGAAAGACCAAAACCCGAAGATTGTATAAAATCATAAGCTAATCTCCAGTTAACATCATGGGTAAAGTATATTCACGCATAGCTGAACAAAGCCGAATCAGATGGATACATCTCAATAACCTTTAGCCATTGAACCGACTGGTTGTACAGACCAATTTTACGAAAAAATGAATTCAGGAGAAAACACAGAAAAATACCGTATTAATATTTGCTAAAAGGTTTCAGAATTTGAGGAATGATTACTGGAATAAATTATTTGCTTTGACGAAAAAAGTATTGAACTTTTCAGACATAACTAAAAATGTAACTTTTGATGGGAAATAAAAAAAAATCAGCCCATAATTCGATCCCAATATTGAAACATTTTGGTGGATGTGTTATTGTGTTATTTATGCAGAAGCAAGGGCTGAAATCAACTGGTTTGTATGGAAAATAGATTTGGTAATACTTTAGTACATTTATTTATAAAAATAAATATGTATATTCAATGCTATCCCGATTCGAATCGGTACATGATTAATCTAACAACAAGACAAAATCCGAAAGATACTCCCAAACTAATTTCAGAAGGTTTTTAAAAAAAATTATAGAGTAATTGAATGGGTTTCTGAATCGCCTGTTAAATCAAATCGAACATTATTTATAGGAATTGAAAATTGCTCTTCCTAACAGAAGATCTTGAATCTGAAAGATTTGGAAATGATTTTGAATATTTGAAAGAACAAGAGATTCAGGAGACATATCGGAGGTTAAATTTGTATATTTACAGTGACTGAGGCCAAAAGAACCTTAAACTATTCGTGAGGTCTAAAACTTGTGCGATATTAACTATGAAAATGCATTGATAATTAGAGAAATAAATTTAAAATTTAAATCAGCTTTATAATCACTTCACGTTTTAACATGTTTTACTAAGTCTAATTAAATATACAATTAGTTATACCGGATTAAACGTCACAAAACGCAACAATAAATGATTACTAAACTTATCTGGAGTAAGCTATCGTAAAGGTCAAGAACACTTTGTTTACTTCGATATCACGTTGAAACACCGGGTCCCGTACTAACAAGGAAGTTAAGCAACGTCGAGCCTAGTCAGTACCTAGATGGGTGATTGTTTGTGAATACCAGCTGCTGTAAACTTGGATGTACGAGTGGGTGGAATGGATAATCAGAGAGCCGTGTTCCAATTACAGTTGGACATGTTATATATTGGAAATGTATTAATCCACCTCTTCCCCTAAGTTAATTAGTAAAACTTGTATAACTAAATCATTATTATCTCTCCGCCTTAAAAAAAAATTGGTATAATCTAAAAATATTTTCTGCCTTTAAATAACGTTCAAATCGGTGATAAACCGTAGAATCAATTAAGAACAGTTTATCGTTGATTAAGCATGTGTCATGGTGTAATGAATTAACATTAGAAACTTTATTTTGAAGTATTAATAGCCACGCATTTTTAAAATATATTTTTAGATAATTAGTTTATGTTTTAATTGATTAGTAACTAAGAGAAGATGAATTTGTGGTTCGCCATAGAAAAATGCAATAGACTTAAGTTATATTACTTAAACTCATTTTTAAGCAATTTTTCGGTTCTATATTGTATTAATCGATCAGCGACGTCATATGTCTTTTAATTTTCAAACAACAATGTTTTTCGTCTGCTACGAAAATTTGAAAGCAGACTTCGCAAAATATTCAACAATATTTTCCCTTTAAAATGGAAATTTAAACACTAGGAAATTATTTATTAGCCAATAAACTCTAAGTTTGATAAAATGTAAGTTTTAGTCTTTTCGCAATTGATTTCTCTGTTATAAAAGCCCTTGTATTAGTTCGCAAAAAATAGTTTTTCAGTTATTCTTTTAACGATAGGTGTTCGCTCGTTTTTATACAAGCTGAAATCCTCAAACCTCAATTAATTATTCCCATTTTCGCATAGCTTTTCGAGTATACTATATTATAAAAAGCTTTAGTGATGTTGATCTAAGAAACACAAAAAACATACGAAACGTGTTATTTGTCAAAACAGTTCTTACTAGTAGTATCAGTGCAGCTTCTCCTGCTATACACTAGCTTCTGCTACTAGAAAATTACACGCATACATAAAAGAACGTAAATACGTGACGCACACGTTCTCACATGTAGAAGCATTCTATTTTTATTCATATTAACGGAAATGATTATGTTGTAAAAAAGACAAACAAAAATATTTTTCACTATTTACATTATTCGGACTATTGTCCTCATCTTTGTTGCCATATTTACCATCAGAATATTTTTGGGTGAATTTGTTCATTTCTTTCTCTTTGAATGAAGACTAATACCCGATAATAAAAAAAATATTTAAATTTGTAGAGACGTTTTAAAGATCTCTTTATTTCTTCGCTTTATCCACGCATATTCCTCTACATATATATCGTTGCCTTGCTTTTTAGTTCTCAGGTTAAATGGTATCAAATGTGTAGTGTCTGGTTGGAGTATAAGCACGGGATACAGAGTGATACTATATACTGGTTAAACAAATATGAATTAGATGGCAAGAAGCAAGCTGGTTGCCTGGATTGAGTAAAGATGTTGCATTCATGCACTGGCAGCTTGTGAGAAAGCCTTCCTCAGGAGATAAATCATACTTAACGAGGAGGATTTTTTCGTAAATAGTTTATATCTGTGATTGGTGTATACATGCCTCCGCGGTCCAGTCTTATATGGGTTTTATGATTATATTTACGGTGGTACCAGCGATGCGTTTAATAGTAAGTCGAAGTTTGAAGACAGGACATCGACTTCAATTATTGCACCCGTTAAAAAATCGGCTATTCTTGTTTCCGTTTATTATACGAATTTTTCTTCCGTTCTCTACTGATATTTTTCTGGTCATTGTTTTTCTAAACTGCATTCTTAATTTTTGGCTATGTCAATAAAATTTTAAACTCTATAACTAGTACTTATCCTAGTTCAATTAGATACCAAGTTGCTAACAGCGCTTGAGTTTTGATATATATCTGTCTGCTCTAATATTGGGATTTGCTACACCTACTAGCAAATTTACTCCCCAAATATAGTGGGGAAACAACAAAACCTGATAGCATTATGTACTAGAACTGAGACGCGCTTGCTGAGTGGTAACGGTGATGTAGTACCACAAACATGATTGAACAGATAATCGTCTGATCTGTCGGCTCTGACGATAAAATGCACCCGGCAGTTTATCGGGATATTGGCGGTTTTGAGAAGCGTGGAACTACCTTTTAGTTACTGCTATTAATCATGTCCACACAAATATGAATATGCAAAAAATCTGAGTATCATATACCATGTATTAAATGGTAAAAGCAGAGTAACATATATCTTATTTTTATTACTTCAAACCTTAGATGTTCGATATTAAATGACCCAAAAGCAGTTGACATGTCAAACAAACAAATAAATCAACGAAAATCAACTGATTAGGACTTTGTTGGAAGTAAAATTGCTTTTGCAGCAGTAGTTATATAAACTTATATTTCATTTTAGTTCCACGTATATCATCCAAAAAAGTTAACTTAACACATGTTCCTGAAAAGAGCAGTTCTGTCTGCAGTTGTGTCTGTAAAGATCATTGAAAGAATTGTATACTTTCAATGGCACTTCGGGAAAGGAAGTCTATGCTAACAATGAACAAAAATATGTTATCTTTTATATTTAATCAAAATTGTAATGTTATGAAGTTGTAAACAATATCCAAGTACTTCTGTTATATTCATCCTTCTGTATACGCATACATAATTTATTCTAGCATATAGAACGATCACTACTCACACGCCTACATAGATACATATCTCGAGATATAATAAAGAATACATATTGATATAATGTATATGTAGGTAGAGAGATACATACACAGATGCAAGGAAATCTATTAGAGAAAAACACATTAACTACGAAATACAATTTTGCTTGCGGTTTCCATGAGACGACAAATATGATTGCATAAATTTTGTCGCCTCACTAATTTCTTTTCATAATTTACGAAAGTAATTTTCTCGAAAAAGAAATTGGTAGAAAAAGAAAAGAGAGCAAAGACAAAAGAAATTTATTTTCTTTTTCTGTCCCTAAAGTTTTACCACACGATTGGAGAGATAATAAAGGGATAAATTGAATGAAACAAATTCGCTTTAAAATTGTGGTAAATGGAAGAACAACGACTATCGACAGAATCCAATCACAAAAAACAAAAAAACAAAAACAAAACAAAACAAAACTCAAAAAACAAACAAACAAAATAAACAAACAAGGGGAGACAATTGCTATAAACTGTTTCGTAAATTGTGATTATTTTGGCATTAATTTCAATGTACGGGGAAACGATTAAAAGTTTTATTTTAGATGTTCTGATTTGATGATTTTATCAAACAATGTATTAACAAAATTTCTAAACAAAGCCAATTCAATGAATTTAGAATGATGAAATATTTCAGAAAGTTGTTAATTAGTAATAGCTTTTTATGCTACAGAATGATTTTGAAAACAAGGCAATGCTTTTGACGATTTAATTAATGTCATTTCCAAAGAGAAAATATGAAATAAAAAAAAATCTATGTAAAAATGAAATATAATTACTAAGATTACGGAGAGAAATAAAAAAGGGAAAAGAGTGAACGAATTAGACAGATAAAAGAAGATTGGTATATAACTATTTATGGTTGCAAGTATGACACAAGGCTAGGTATTATGTGGATTCTCTCACCCATAGTTGTGAGTAAAAGTAAAATTTCTCCAATCCCATGCACAGCGGGAGACGTCAGGGCATAATTTTGACCTTAAACCGTTGAAGTAATGGAAAGTTATTGTCCAAAAAAAGAACCCCAATCAACGACGCGAGATTTATTTCTGTCTCATCAGACACGCGTAGTAATTCACCGAAATTGCCACCCAGTTTCACAAAGGGGCACTGTTTGAATTCTCTATAACGTATTGTATTATACAAAAGGTGTACGTATATGTTTCTGTAGGATAACACCTTTAGATTCGGTTATTTTCTCACGTTGAAACTAATCGGCGCATGTTTCATCGTCCAAAGGCTAGACACAGATCACTTTTTGTATGATTGTCCCTACATTTAAAACATAGTAATTTTACTTTCTTCCTTTTAATACGAATCAGAAGCATAATTTACAAAGACAGAGGGACAGCTAGAGCACAGTTACATAGGAAAAGAGGGGGTAACGGTTAGAATGGATTAGATTCAAAGAGAGAGACATACAACAACAAATAAAAAAGGGCATCTCGGCGTGGTGTAATGGTTAGCAAGCTTGTCTTGCTAGATCAGTTACTACTGAAAAGTGAGTTCGATCCTCACTGGATGCTCCATACTTTCGACCTTGTGCTACATCTAAGCTACGCTTGGAAAATCTCTACAACAACAAATAAAATATAAAGGAAAAGATAATCATAACTAAAGTGCGAGATCGACACAGAGGAGCAAACAAACTGGAAGTGACAGTTATAGAAAACGTACAGTAATATATATATATATATATATATATATACACAGAGATTTGTACGCAGAGAACCCATATATAGCCTTAAACAAAACGAACGTCATACCTAAGGTAACTTTCGACCAACACTTTTGCAAAGGTATTCGTTGGCAATATTACATTCGAATGGATACAAAGGCACACTTAATAAAGTAAATGAGAAGGGAAAGGTGGGACACGACTAAAAGACAAATATTAATTACACAAAATTAAAATTGAACAATGGGGTGATGAAAATAAATAGCTCCACAAGAGTATAAAACAGAAAAAGGGGAACTCACAAACCCTCTAACAGACGCAAGGAACGTAAAAAAAGTTCCTTTTGTCTACACAGGCTAGGCTGTTGAGACTTAATGAAAACCACTTCAGAGACTCGAAGATGATGTATTGAGCGAGCACTGTGTAACACTGAAAACCACGTATTCAGAGGCACACGCATGGTTGTCAAGCAAATGTTGACCAATTGCAGACTCATGGACTGCCTGAGTAGTTCTTCTTATAGGCTAACTAAGACTACCAGAACGCAAATAGGCGGAAACATGTTGCGCGACCGGCGTCTCCAACCGTAGATTGGTTCGTCCTATGTACACTGCATCACAACGGCATTTAAAT